AAAGTGGTTCCACACTCCTCAAAACTTCCACTCTCCCATTCAAAGGCCTTGCTGCTGGATGTAGTTTATCGTCATACCCAGGACTAGAGTTAATATGAACATGACATGGCATTACAGTCCTGAATCATCAAATATACTATTTTTGAATGTACATTAAGGATCATTTAGATCTTAGTAAAAATAAAATAAATTGATTTTTTATTTTACCAAAGTAGCTCTTTTTCTTGCTATTGCATTGTTGTAACATAGATTCCTCATCACTGAAACACTTTCCTGTAGAATCACTCAAATCTAAACTTGCGTTTGTTTTTTCCTGTAGCACTAATTGCAGTAAGCAGAATATTGGGTGATTAGTTCTACTGACTATAGCAAGCCAGATGATTGGCTGTTCTCATTATGAGTAGCTAATAGGAAAGAACTATTAGTAAGCATAATGGCTTGACGAAATCACTCACACCAAGGTGATTCCATACTTGATATGTTGGTTGCTCTTTGTTTGACTGTTAGTAGTAATTTTCTTGTAGTGATCCAACACTTATTTACCTGACACACAAATATTCTAATAGGCTAAAAATAAATGAAAACAAAAAAGAACTCAGTGATCCATCTTAGCCCTGGTCACATGTTTTTGCAGGTGGATAATTTGCTGTTTTTTTTTTGTTTTTTTTTTAACAATTAAGTGAGCTTACAGGGCAAGCTTTGGTTAAAACCAATAAATTCTGATACCTTTAATCGTTTTGCATCACAAATAACATATTTCAATTTTTATTTTACTAGTATTTTTGGTTAAGTTGAAACCAGGCTTTGCTTCCCATACCCCACTGAGCATTACAATCTTAACCTGTTCAAGTCTACAGCCAACCGTTATCTTTCCCACATATCCCCATAAACTGTACCTCTCACTCTGTAACCTTCTACCTCGAGTGGCTCCTGGGCCTTGTGCAAGGTGAACATTATTATAAAAAAAAAAAAAGGAATTTTTTTTTACAAATTACCTAAATTTTATATAAAATAATTTAAAGCTGAATTTAGTACAATCACCTGAATATATAAGATACACCCTCTTATAAAGAGGAACATTTTTTTAAAATTCTCCTTTATGACTAGTATTTGTTTAAAAGCTTAAGCAACTTTGCACAAAAGAATGAGGGTTTGTTTTGTTTTATGTTCCCTCATGGAGGCTCTATGCTTTGAGCACCTTTTGAGACTTAAACTCAACCAATACCTCAAGTGGGACTCGTACATATAATCCATTGCTAAAGATGCTAGTAAAATTGTTGTTTTCCTCTACTGTGTAGCAGTACAGCAAACTGACCATGTTTGTACCTGACTAGTACCTTTACAAGAGCCAGATCAAGCCAAAAATGAAGTTCTGTTTTCATATATGGACAGGAGCTATTCAGTCTTCTGTTTCCAGTCTCAATAGCATCCAAAAGCGTCTCCTCTGAGGAATTATTTTCCACCTTACAATCCCTTTTTCACAGACAAAACATCACAAGAGCCTCTCACTGCTATATCGCTATTTCCATGAAAAATATTCAGACTAGTTACATTCCTAAGTTCCACCAGTTTTAACCCCTTCATAGTTAAGACCCACCATCATGCCATGCAGATTGTAGCAAACCAACCTCATTCTCTTTTTATACCATTGGTGAGATGTAAGTTTCATGCAAACAACTTCTTTCCATGAACTGCTGCTCTGTAGAAACCACTCTGAAGAGGATGTTCCCTGATAACTACAATTTTAACCTGATCAAGTCTAGAATTAACCATTATCTTTCCCACATATCCACATAAACTCTTACTCTATAACCCTCTACTTTGACCATCTCTCTGGTTTTGTACAGGGTGAACGCCATTGTATAAAAAGAAAAATATCATTAAATAATTAATTCAATTTATTTTTTCTTCAAGTTTATTTCCAAGTCTGTCACTTCAAACTGAAGAACTTTGATTTAGCTTATTTGGTCTGTCTGATGAAAAATGTTCTTCAAGTAATGTACATTTGTTTTTAAGCAGATTTTTCAGACACTCACTATTATGACCATTTATGAAATTCTTAGATTATATGATATGCTTATGTGTTTTTAACTAAATATTTAACAAAGAACCAGAACAAGGATTTCCTTTTGTGATCTCTCTCCTGTTGTTACTTAGTTTAATCTGACTGAGAGTAATACTAGTTCTTAAGATGTGACTACAGCTAAAAGTATTTTATTAGGAGGTCTGTAACACAAGATAAAAATTCTTTATTATCTTTTAAGATTATTGCATGAGTAGAATAGAAAATAATTATAAATTTTTTTTATTATTTGTGATGAAAATTGGCAATATTCATTTCTTTAATAATTTCTAATCAATTCATTTTATAAGATACATTTGAAATGTAAAATGAACAGTAATTGAATATCTAATTATATAAAGAACTAGCATATCTGTGCTATAAAAAATGATGGCAATTATTAGAAAGCTTTAATATTGAGATGCAGTGAAACAAAGGTTTTGAGATTCAATAAAGTGGAGATACAGAATTCACAACTAAAATAGAGGCCAATGAACTTTTTAAATATTCTATTTCTTAAGAGTTTTTGTTAGATTACATTTATTACATAACAATTACATATATTTTGTTCTATTATATAACAAAAGTTCAGAATTCAGCAAAAGTCACTTAAGTGTTTACACAATTATTACCCTTATTTCTACATTTCTTGTAATAACTTGTATTTAAAAAGACATCCTTGGTTGTATTTAATTTTGATATCAAACTGATAAAATGAAAATAGAGCCTCAATCCATATGTTGCAAATGTCAAACACTGGGATTGGTAAATAAACATGAGAAAATTATTGACCTTGCAACTTGTTAATAGAATTACATAGAGCAATACACGAAAGATATAAATAAATAAATACACAACGGTAATTATCATATAGTATTTATACTACATTCTATCATTATTTATCTCTTGGCTGATGTGGAAACTCTATCTCAACAAACTAAAGTTTAGTCCTCCTGGTAGAATTAACAATTACATGTAAAGGTCATAGGAATTGATTTTTAAGCTATTATTTTTGGCTGCATTTTTACAACATACCAAAACTCCATAGACTGATTCCAATGGATTTAGTTAAGAAGTTACACTGGAAAAAAAAAATGAAACATTTATTTCATATATATTTTGTTTTCTTTCATTGTATAAAAACTGTTAATTTGATATTTTTCCTAATTTAAGCATTAATGACTGACAAAATTCAGTTTGTAATTATTACTTTGTATTGCATGTACTGAAATATCAGGTTTTTTTTTTCAGCTCTGTTTTTTTATATGCTTTTTTTTTTTACTACCGAGTCCATGTATTAAAGTAAAATAAAAATAGAAAGAAACATTGATCCATTAGAAATCAAGTTTTATTCTTGATCTATGTTTATTTTTCGATTTGCAAAGAAATAGTTTCTATTTGTTTTTTGAAAAATTGACTTTGGATAGGATCAAAAATTTACCCACAACCCGCCTCAGCAATAACCATTACCCCCCCACACACACACACACACACACCACCAGATTCTTCCTTAGCGTTGTTAACCTTTCCACTTATGAGGTGTTTCTTTTGATGACCCTGGTCACAGATACTTTTTAGTTTTTATTCTTCCACAGCTTGCCAGTGTTTGTGGGTGAGGATTGAAAAGGTTTCTCCTTCATTAACACCACCTGCTCTGGACCTAAATAAGTCGCTCTCTCTCTCTCAACCCGGAGAAAAAGAAAAGAATCGATCATTAGGTGTTCGAAAGAAAAATCGAGGGTGACAAATTCTTCCTGGTAGTGATTTATTTTCCCCAGTGTTCGGAAATTGCTACAATTTTCAAACGCCTTCCTTACTCCGCCTTTCATTTTTTGAAATTCAGAAAGATATTTTTTGAGCTTGTAAAATAAATATTGCTTAGAAACTCCATTTTTCATTCCTTTTTAAACCAGTTATTTCACATTTGAATAAAAGAAAACTACTACGAAAACTAAATATTTTTCCTTTAGAAATAACTCAATTTGGAGATTACATGAATAATTCAGTATAAATTTGAAAATGGAAAATATAATGAATATAAAAAAAATATATTTACTTTCATTTTTCATATAACGGAAAAAAATGTAGGGTACATATCAGAAAGAAAGATGAAATATTGAAATTAAAAATACAGGAACGGCACTTCCTGATTTTGAAGTGTCACGTACAGATTTTTTCATTGATGTATCTATTATCTAATAATTTTTTTTTTTTTTTTAAATTCTTTGAAGGGCGAAAATGACATTAAAATTCCCGTTTTTATGCTATGGATGAGTAATAGTATCATAAAACTCCTTTGCCTTTTTTTTTCTTATCCTGCGGCCTTGTAATTTTATTTTACAGTGTTTAATAAACTATGAATGTTTGGGCAAAGGAACAACAAAAAGGAAATGAAATAGTACGCAAATGAAAACTAGCATTAATTGAACTGGGGAATCGTTGCTGGAATCATCGCTGATATATGTTTAGACGATGATGATGATAAGAAGCATTTTGATTTAAGTGTTTCTAATGGTGGGTGGTGGGGGTTAATAACTGTATTATTGTCTCTCGTGGATCTCAAGTAAAATCTCTCTAGCTGGATTTTTAGTTGTAATAAAATGAATATCGAATCCTAGAATGTAGGTTCATACTAGGCATCCGTAGAAAAAAAAGTGGGTCAATGCGTGTGAATGCGAAGGAACAATAATAATGATGAGGGCACGGATAGCAGCAGCAGCAGCAGCTTTGAAATTGCAATGTTTGTTGTTGTTGTTGTGTGAAATGAATCCCCCAATTTGTGTCCATCTCTTGTGTAGTGGGAGAATGAAGCTGATCATCTGCAAAGCGACCTTTGCACACAGCTCTCTATTATTTTCCCCTCTTATTCTTATTGTTATTATTATTATTGCTGTTGTTGTGCCTTTTCTTCTTCTTCTTCTTCTTTGCAATAATGAATATGAGAAGAAGAAAACATTCGTCGTGTGCAAAAAATGTCCTACACACGGCACTTCAAGTTGTTCTTGTTTTTCATTTCTCTCTTGTTGTTCGTCGTCGCCCTGGGCAGAAAAGACGACCAATATTTGCCTCTGGGAATGACCATCGTCAACAACATTTTAGCATCTTTTTCTTTTCGTTGTTCACGTTAGGATCAATTTCTCTTGGTGGGATCACACTTCCCTTTTTTTTATTCGAACACCTAAGAAGAAGAAATATCTCTTCTCATCAACATCAACCAAGACCCCTAAATTCCTAACCAAATATATTTCTTTCATTATCTCCGAAGAAATTTCGTTCAGGACTTCATTGTTATTATTTAAAGAAACTGGAAGAAAGTAAGAAACATTTCATTTTACTATTTTTCACCATTTGTTTTGTGCTATTAAATGTGTTTTTCTTCTATTTTCTTTATTTTAGTGAGATCGAAACCTGGAAACATTTGTTTTGGGTTTTTATTTATTTTTGTTTTTTTGTTTCAAATAAAATCAATTTGAACAAAAAATCTCTCCATCTAAAATCGACCCCAAATAAATCAAGTTGTGAATGAGTTCCCTTTATTCTCCCCACCATAAAAAAAATGTTTTTTTTTCTTTTCTTCTATCATCCACTCTCTAAAACCAAGCGTATCTTTTATTTTTTGTCTATGTATTTAAATATTCCCCAGGAAACAATCAACTATCAACTGGTTTCGTTTAGTTTGATTATTTTCAACCACGTTGTACTCTAAGTTTTCAACAGGAAGAAAACACAACATGGCCATATTTCATATCGCACCTTTTGTCTCTTTCAAAAAAAAAAAAAAAGTTGTACACGTTTTCTCAGCTGTCTTTCATTTTAATGTTTTTTATTTATTTTATTTTCAGGGATCTTTAATAACACAATGTTATATTATTTTCTTTAATTGAATATTTCTCTCGTTTGATGTTATTTATTTCTCTGGTCATTGTTTGAACATGTTTTCTTTTCGACCCATTGTTTATTTTTTCTTTCTTTCCTTCGACATAAAATCCTTGACCATTTCTAATTGAATAACCTCTCCACCGATTTTTCGATTCTTTCTTTTTTAGATAAATAATTAGATTTAAAAAAAAAAAATCTGACTTGTATATTCGGACGACTTTCTTACTTAACAAGTTTTAATTATTTATTAACTCCTTAAAAAGAAAATTAAAAATAGTTCAAACTGGAGTCTAGTATTATTTGTTGATTTTTCAACAGTTGCAGAGTTTTTGGAAGAAAAAAATTCGAATATCTTGTAGAAATGAAAGAAAATATGTCCCGTTTTAAAAATTTAGAATTTAAAAATGTTGCCAAAATTTTTATTTTTCTTTCTTTCTTTTTTTTTAAAAAAAAATAATGACTCGAATGGTCTCTACATGTTTCTCCTTGTTAATGTTAAGACTTAAATTTTCCTAAGTCTCTCCAGAGTCATCCACGATTATTTTTTAATCGTTTCAGTTAACAACTGTATTTGTTTCGTACAAATAATAATTTATCATTTCTTTAAAAAGCTTACGAATTGAAAAAATAGTTAATTCAGAAGTTGTCAAAAAATTCATCATTTAACTTTTTAAAAAAAAATTAAAACACTTGCAATTGAAAATTGTCATCTACAATTGAAGAAAAACCTGAAATGTTAAAAAAAATATATTCAAATTTTAATGGGATTCTTCAAAAAAGTGAAGTCGGTTTTCGATTTTGAATGTAAAATACAAAAACTTCGAAATTTGTCATATGGCATTTAAGTGCCTTGTGCAAAAAACAAATCTGATTTCTTTTTTTTTTTTCTTTAAATTTTGTTAAAAGAAAAAACACAATTATTCAAGTTCTAATCATATTATTTATTTTTAACTTAATACAATATCAATCTTTCAGAATTAAATTATTCTTGATTAAAGTTTTCTTTTAATTCTATCATTTGTAAATAAAATTTAACGAAAAGGAAAAGTCCGTGGTTGTTGCCTTATTTTTGCACAAGGCTCTTAAGTGACTCCAACTTACTGGGTTGGTCTTTGTTACAAAATATCAGTTATTTACACTCCTTTTTTCTTTTAACCTCCTGCACATGAGTAATAATTAAAAAAAAAAAATAGCTATAGTCTAAAAATCTCATCCTGATCGCCTGAAGTGAAAAAGCTTATTTTTTTTTCTTTGAAAAGTTTTTGGGTACCGGTAACATTTTTCGATTGTCATCAGTTTTCAACTTATCTGCCAGTTAAACATAACTTGTGTAAGAAGACTGACCGCTCAAGAGAAGGCTTTCCTTTATCTTTGCCTGAGTTTTTGTGGTAACAACTTGCCTGGATCGGACTTTTATCATTAATGTGAGGATTTTCTTTTTCATAAATAATCTATCGCAATTTTACTTATTACGGGGATTCTTATTCATTTTGTAATTAATAATAATAGCAGACCTTCAGGTGCGTCAGGTGTGAAGTCACCCAGGATTTTTTTTTTTTTTGTTTCTTTTCAACTAGAACTGAAGAAAATTGCTTTGATCTTAACCGAAAAAAAAAAAAAATTATAAATCAATGGAATCGATTTTTCAGATTTTTCTTAATTTTTGATCATTCTGATAAAAAAAAAAATTAAACTTTTCTATTAATTTTTTAGTGGATTTTATTTTTTGTATTTAATTTTTCTGGTTCATAATGAAAAGAAAATATTTACTTATCTCTTTTATTTTAAACAAATTTGAAACTATTTTTTGATCCGCTAAAAATCTAATGCGTGAAATAATTTGAACTTTATGTGTCATTATTATTGAAATTACTTAAAGAATCAGAAAAAATTTATCTTTCAAATCATTGATCTTTAGTCTGTTGAAACACCGGTTCTCGTCTACGATCACCGAAGTTGAGCAATGTCTAGCCTGGTCAGTACCTAGATGGGTGACCACTTAAGAATATCAGGTACTGTAGTAAGCTTAGATATGCGGGATATGTAATGGAATTGGAGAGTTGTGTTCGTTATATTCATTTATGCGCAAATACCTCTTCTCTCCCCAGCTATGGGAAAAAAATTAGTAGGACGTTATCTCGGAAAAATACTTACAATCCAAAAAAACATATTTTCTGGCTTTTTATAGCTTGAAAAAGGTTAAGTCGTAAAAAACAGTCAATCTTCCTTATAAAGAAAAAAATAATTGGATTTGAATAAAAATAAATAAAGTAGATGAAAATTTTATGAAACCCCCAACAATTTTGGCCCCTTTGAAATAATTCTTGAAACTTTTTATGACAACAGACAAAAACACCAGGATATATAAATAACCTTGCTTTTCTAACTTTAAATATTGAAGGTATAACAATAACATCTAACTTAACAAAAGCTTCTTTTTTTTTTCTTCTAAATAGCCAGAAATCTCCTCTTTAATCATGACAAAGGAAAAATTTTCCTGATTTTGTAATTAAGGTTTCAAAACTTTTGAAATGATTTTCTATAATTATTTGTAGCCATTACTTTGTGTCAGACTGACTTTGATAAATTTCCAGAATAGTTTCAGTGGTCATCTATAGTAGATTTGGTAATGTATACTGACACATTGACTGTTAAAATACTTAATAATGTTGATCACTTAATAAAATGTAATAGTGTGTATAGAAATATAGAAAATTTTAATCTTGTCCAATGTGATTTTAGAATCAGATATTTTAAGTACCTTTTTGTTTATTTTCAATTGATTTTAAAGTTGAAATATTGCTTCTGTTTTTTATCTACTTAACAGCTACTTAACTTTGATCTGAGCTGAGAGGGTTTTGCTTTGTTATAGGAAAGTAAACTGACCTTGTCTTTTCTATATATTTCTTCCATCTTTATCTGCAAAGTAAGAAAATTTATTGAAGAGTCATTTTATCTCCAGGAATCTGGAACTGTCTTCTAGAATTATTGGATTAAACATATTGCCTCAAGCAGCACTTGACAAAATCTAATATTTTTTCACTTTCTGTAGTTGGCGTTTCTCACAAAATTGAACCAACTTTAATCTAAAATCTTTTGGTATATATTTGAATTATGTCATTGAGATCATAGGCAACCATAACATTCCACCTTTACCCTTTTTCTTTAATATCTGTAAACTGAGCATTGCAATGACTGTTGTTGCAGTTGCCTTATCTGTAGTTTTCATTGCATTGCATTGTTGTCCATCTCTTAGACTAATTGCCATTCTAAGCCTAAAGAACATAGTCTATTCTATGATTTTACCTTAGCTTAGGAGAGAAGAAATGAATTTATACCTTTCTGAAAATGCATTGCATTTTCAGAAAGGTATAAATTCAGCTGGAATTTTTAATCGGCTTGACGATTTCAATTTTACTAACCCTTTACAATAGTCACAAATCCTTGGAATTGTTCACTTTTGTTTTTTGTATAAATTCAAAGCCTATTTCAAAGAAAACAATATCTTGTAAGCATTGCATGCTTACAGAATATTGTTTTCTTTATCAGATCAATTAAACATTTCTCATGTTTTTTAAAGGAGTTTTCAAACTGTCATTGGTATTGATTTGTACACATAGGATAACACTTTCTTTTATTGTTTCTGGGACAAAAAATGGGCACTTACCATTTTCCAAACATCTTTTGAATGTAGTGCTGAATCAAAGTTAAATATTGGTTGTGGCCATATTATTAAAGATTTTTCTGTTTGAAATATTTTCTCTCTCTCTCTCTCTCTCTCAAACATTTATGGAAGTTAATCAAGTGTAATTAGATGTGCAGATAGTGTAGCAGTTATTGGTGTTGAAAGTACTACGTTCACACAAATGCACTTGCAAAAGGTATGAACCCATCTCTTATCCCCTTAACTATGGAATAAATAGCAGGACAGACTGGGCTCTCTGCAATCAGTCACAAAGAGCAATTTTGAATTCAAAACTGGTTGGACATGGGGCTGGCAACTGCACCACATAAAACCTCCAGCAACAACACTTTGCATGCTGAGGCTATATTTCTATTCTCCACTGAATAGTCTAATAGCACTAAGGAGAAAAAATCAAGCTATGTTCATATGTGAAATATTTCTGATTCTATTCTGTCATAGAAATAATCTCACACTTTCATAGCAACACAAACTCTGCCCTACTCGTCAACTTAATATTTTTAAAATCTTATCTAATTTAAATATCAACGTCTTACCCTGTATGACTTTCAAAGTTTTCTTTTTTTCCTATCTTAAAAATGAAGAAATATTAATGTTAAGTTTTATTGAAAAAAGACAAAAACTAACTAACTAACTAAAAAATCTAGTGCTGATTCCCAGTGATTTTGTTAATAGAAGGGATATCAGTCATATACGTATGTTGTAAGGATAATGGTAAAAAAAAAATTACTAGATAATAATTCAAAATATGTGGAGGAGTTGAGCAACCACCCGAGATTAAAAAATGAGAGGCATGTGACTTTGGACTGAGAATCACTGGTTTGAGGAAAAGAAGAAATTCATATTTACATATTTTACTTTTACATAGGTACCTCCACGAAATCGCTAAAAAAAGAGCATAGCTTGATGAAAAAGACGCCAACCTTGCCGAAAACAAAATTTTATTGTCTAAATGCTTATGTTATTATTTAGAGGAAAGACCAAAGTTTTTTTTAATTATTTTTAAAAAATTTTCCTTCTTTTTAGAAAATTCTAAATTTTGATTAAAAAAAACCTTGTTTCTATTTGTATCAGCGGAACTAGTAAATAACATAGAAAATTTTTAGCACGTTTTTTTGGTATGACACACATTAATTTGAAAAATCGTGCAAAAATAGAAATAATTATCGGATGTTAATGAAACTTTCAGGAACTATTCACAGATGATCGAAATTATTATGAATGTTTTTTTATGAAAGTCATGGTAGAAATATTTTAAAAAAATATTTATTACCCCCATAACTAATTTTATGAAAACGCTTAGAAATTGATCGCATCGGTTTTAGTGATTACAATAATTAAAAAGCACAGGGCTTTTGAGGAATGCAAATCATGTTTTTTTTGTTTTTTAATTGGATACCCAGTACCTGAAAATCAGCTCTGAATTGTAACATACAAAACTCAATAAAACAAAGATATTATTTAATTTCAAATGCTTTTTATTTGCTTTTAGTTGTTTTTATGAATATGGACAATATTTTCTGAAAGCAAAAAATTTTTTTCAATGAAAATGAATTTTAATACAATTATTTGTTATTTCATTAATTATAATAGATTTTACATTTAAGTTGTTAAAATATTATAAAATTAGTTAAAAGTCAAGACAGGCTTTCATAAGTGTCCTTATGAGATAGATGTTTTTTTTAGCGCGTTGTAAATTGTATCATTTTGACTAATCAGAAGATCCCCAGTAATTAAGAAATGTAATTTTGTGCTTATAATCGAGCTGTAATTATAAAATACGGAAGACCAACCAGAATATAATTAAGTTGCGTTATTTGAGTTAAGCATTGTTCTCTCCGCTATTAAGGCCTTTACTTTTCAAAACACGTGTGGAGAAGTTAATTTGATTTTTCAATTTTAACTGAGAAGGTTACCTACAAGTATCAGTATCATCTTATGAAATTTATATGATCTTATTTTTATATTAATCTCAGTTACGACATTTTTCCATAAATGAAATATCAAAATTAATAATAAAATGAATGCAAATACAAATAACAGTAGAATGTAATAAATGTACATAAAATTATAGTATTTTATGTACAATTCTGATAAAATTTCATAAGAAAGGTACCTATAAATTAATTAGATACCTTTCTTAAGAAATATGAAATTTAATGTCCTCTTAACAGTTTTATTTTAATTTCTTTAGAATATATTTCCCATAAAGCATCATAAACGTAAAGGTGAAAGCTAAGTACAAAAAAAAAAAAAAAAATTAGACCGCTGAAAGTTTTCGTTAAAAATAACGGGCAAATAATTTGTTCACGTAAATGTAAATTATTTCACTTTTCTCCTTCCGAGAGAACAAATTAGCCTCATGGAATTCGTAAATATATCATTCATCACATGTCAAGAGACGCGAAAAGTTTATGACCTGCTTTGTTTTATTTTCAAATTACATCTTTTTGGCACAAAAGCTAAGTTTGGTTCAAAATATTTTAAATAAACATTATATTTTCTGATTTTCTTAAAATAAGTTTTGAAAAAATGATAATTGATATTTAAAAAAATTTCAAAGTCAGATTTCCAGTTTTTTTTTTAAAATGGAAAAAAATGGTCAAAAAAAACTAGATTTTTAACGAAAATTTCGGACGTGCTAGGAACGATTAAAAAATGGAAAAAAATACCCCAAAAATACTTTGACCTTTCCTCTTAATGAATAACAAACATTTAGACGCTAAAATTTTGTTTTCGTCAAGTTTGGCGTCTTTTTCATCATGCTATGCTCTTTTTTTAGCGATCTCGTGGAGGTACCTACAGTTTTACAAATATGTTTGATTAAAGTTAATTTTAAATGGACTTATTTTTTTACCAAACTTGAGCAGTGAAAATTTTTTTCTTCTTCTTTTAACCAAAAGTACACGTAAATGTATCTGTGTTGTTTGTTTGTTTTGGGGTTTTTTTCCATTCCTCCCTCAAATTACTTTAGAGTAAAATAATTAAGCTTTCTCTCATGTCATTTTTCTTAAATAACGGATTTAAAATCAAATATGTTTGCATGACATTGTCAAAATTGTCTTAAAAAACTAAAATAGTAACAGAAAAAAAATTGTTCTGGTACCCTTGTTTATCTCCACAAGGTATTTTTTTCATCACCACAGAAAATAGAAACAAGATACTTTCAGATATTTACTTTGTAGAAGTATAAACAAATTACTTTTTATTAAAAATAAAATATTTCATTGCTTTTCAGGAGATCTAGTTAGAAAATATTCTTGTAAACTCTTTTACTATTTCATCATCAGTCACATCACTGAGTGTACCTGACTAGTT